ATTAATTAGTCTTCAGTGATAAGCCCAAGTCTACCTTTAAGATATCTTAGCCCCCTTTTTTCTGTAGTTTCTACATTCAGCTTGATATGGTTTTATTGAAACTTTAATTTTATTAAGGTTTAATTTATTAATATTTAAATAAACTTTAAATTTTATTTTAATTTTTTAAAATTTAATTTAAATTGATTTAAATTTTATTTAAATTAAACTTTTATTATTAAAACTTTAACAGATTCCTTTTTATTTTTTAAAATTTTACAAGTATTAACTTTTTACATTTCTCTTATAATGTTTCGTGAAACAGGCTTATTATAGCAGCTATATTCTCAATTCGAAGTAAAGCCCCAGTTAGATATTTTTACCTTATATGATCTTGGTTGAACAGTGTTACAGGAAATGTTTCTTTTGGAATAAGTGGATGGAGGAGCATGTAGAGGTCTATGATCAGCAAGTCAGTTAGTGAACCCATTAGTATATCTTAATTTTTCAATTCTTTTTATCTTACTCATGAATGCAATCATGAAATGAGTGCTACTGAAAGTGCTTGGTGAACGACTGCACCTGAGAAATTCATTCCAAAGATGGTGGCCAAAGGCAAGTGATAGAGTGAGTCCTTTGTGTGTTAGAGGCTCTGGATTTGATTGGCTCTGGATTTGATTTCCAACAGTCGCCACCCCCAACCATCCCCTCACCCCTCAAAGGCAGTGCGGATCAGCTGTGCTGGATTTTTACAGACTAAGTAGGGGGCTGGGAAATAGTACAAGAAACTGAATACTGGTGAGAGAGAAAAATTGTGACCCACAAAGGGAATATGTAAACCTTGAGATAGTGAAGGTGAAATAAAGCTGAAACAAATTCTTACAGTAGGTCATCCCATTAAGTTAATCCCTCTCCAACCATTCTTATTTGTCCAGTTTCTCACCAGCCTTTTACTTACACTGATGTATTACATCAGGAAGCCAATAAATCTCCCTATAAGGAATTAGATTCTCTACTAAGTACAAACCCAATCTGGCTGAATTGGGTCACTTTAACCTTAGCGATATTAATCAATAAAGATTCATTTGCAGAACCCAATTTCTCAAAGGTAGACGATATCATTGGTGGCGTTTTATTTGTGCGCATGCGCACACACGCAAAAAAGGATTTACACATACACATATAATAATAAGAATGAGAATTTGGGGAAAGAGGTTGGTGCCACACCTAGTAGTGCTCAGGGTTTACTCTTAGCTCTGTGCTCAGAACTATGTGTGGTGCAAAGGACTAAGGCAGGATCCGGTGCATGCAAGGAAAGTTCTTTAACCCCTGTACTAGCTCTCCAGCCACAGAGGAAAATGTCTTAGAATGTCCTTCCAAAGACCAAAGATGTTTTATGAAAATGAATAAGAATAAGGACTAGAGTTCATGGCTATTCTTTTCCTAGCCTTCTTTTTTTGGATCTTCCCATTAGTTTCTTCAAGAAATGACTTGAAAAATGAATTTCTAAATGCTCACTATTTCAGTCTCTTTTCTTGTTTTCTGGAAGATATGTGGAAAGGAATAGTTTAAAAATATCTTTATGGATCTGGTCTTATCTACAGAACAAAGCTTATGAGAGAGACAGGGGTGGCAATGGTGAGATAAGGAGTGGGAGAGGAGAAGGTGAAGGGAAAACCCCGAGACAAAGGTGTAGAGAGAGGCTGGAGTGATAGTACAGTGGGTAGGGCATTTGCCTTGCATGTGGCCAACCCGGGTTCGATTCCCAGCATCCCATATGGTCCCCCAGGCACCGCCAGGATTAATTCCTGAGTGCAGAGCCAGGAGTAACCCCTATGCATTGCTGGGTGTGACCCAAAAAGAAAAAAAAAACAAAACAAAGGTATAGGGAAACAGGCACTATGGCGGTGGGTGAGGTGTTGGAATATTGTATGCATGAATCCTTTTGGTATTGTAAAAACTGTAACTAGGACGATATCCAAAAAAAAATCCGTATGAATTTAACGACAACAATTGTACTTGAACACAGGGTAATAGCAAAGCTTAATGAAATTTGAAACTTTATTAGTAATTTGCAGATAAATAACTGAGGATATCATGGTCAGTGAAGTCAGTCAGAATGATCACTCTTAAATGCAGGATATAAAGACACAGTATGGGAACAACAAATGGCCAAAGGCAACAGAACTGGGGAGTTGGTCCATGCAACTGAGTTTATGGATGGGTGATTGGTATACTGTTGGAAGGTGTTGTGTTGGAACAGTGTGTGCATGAAACTATCATTAATAGAATTATAAAGCACAGGGCCCCAATGAAGATGGGAGGCAGGAGAAAGAAAATGATCTGAAAAGGGATGTTTACCCTTGAGATTCTTTAAACCCTGTTCAAAGGGTAAGTCCAAGTTCATGCCAGACTGCGGACACCTTTATAGAATGATCTTTCTAAAACACACTCTCAAGTATGATTCGGTCTTATTTCACAGAGGAAATCTCTCACAAATTTTAGACCCAAATTAGGCTATGAAATTATTCACAACACATCAGCTTTTTTCTTAGCTCAGTACAGGATTAAATCTTGAATACCTCACGTGAAGAGCAGACAGGATTTAGCTCAGAGTAGCTTACATAAACCACAGTTTCTCTGTTCACATCTGCAGGGAAAAGCTAAAAACATCTTTCTTTCAGAGCATTTTTTCCTTCTCTTACCAACTTCTGGTTTCAAGTTAGTACTGTAGCACTGTCCTCTTGTTTTCATCGATTTGCTCGAGCGGGCACCAGTAACATCTTACAACAAATTGTGAGACTTGTTGTTACTGTTTCTGGCATATCGAATACATCATGGGTAGCTTGCTAGGCTTTGCCATGCTGGTGAGATACTCTCGGTAGATTGCCGAGCTCTCCAAGAGGGGCAGGGGAATCGAACTTGGGTTAGCCATGTTGGCTGGGTGCAAGGCAAACGCCCCAGCTGCTGTGCTATTGCTCCAGCCGGTTTTAAGTTAGTAATTAATAATAAACAACATGAAATGATTTACAAATATCTCACATAATACTTCTTCAAAATACTAACAAAAACTTTACTATCAAGATCACTTTCAAGATCAATGGTATGATGGTCTTTAGTTAGATGGAAGACCACAATTAAATGTAAAACAAGGCTAAGTCTAACCTTATCTTCCACTGAAGATAGAAGATTGTGATTCTATGGCCGTATACGTAAAAAGAGTTTTTACATTTTATGTGAATGGACTTACAAATTTTCTGAACTTAATTTCTAACATTTGGGTAAGATTTATGTTCATAAAAATGGCTTTATAATCAAAATCTGCAAGAGATCTTAAGCAAAAATTGAACTAGTTGACTTTATACCATGTAAAAGAAAACCATGGCATTAACTGGTCTAAAAACAAAAGTTATTAAACTTGGCAAGCATTCTATACCTCTTTAAATAAGCAATGCTGAATAAATTTAATCGTAAGACAACTCAGCTACACAGGATTTTTTCTGTGGCATTAACACTTCCTGATGAATCTGTACAATGTAAGTCTGTCCAAAATTAGACAATCTACTAACACAATTGTGAGCTGCCTGTGTCCATTGGGAAGATTACTGGCATCCTCTGCTCTTTAAATTGTTTAAGCCCAAATGAATTTTCCTGTGATTTCTGAAGCAGAGTTTTGCTACTCAGTGAATGTCTGAGCACTAGATTGAGCTGATTCAAAGGTCTGTTATCAAGAAAAGTTGTATCATTGAGAAGTCACCCTGTTAGAATTCTCTATCTGAAAATCAATATTGTTATCAATAGGATTCCTAAGTGCTCATGTTTTGAAGTTCTGCGACCTTTCCTCCTGGTAGTTTTAAGTTTATCAATGTCTCTAATCAGTAATTCAGAATCTTGGATTACTCACATTCAGAGAAGTCAATTCAGGCTTGACTGGAAACTTAGAAGCAGCCCCACAAATTACCTCAAAATGACAGGAGAAAGCCCACAGGTGATGCATAGTCTAGGAATAGTTCACTCCTCTATGAGTCATTAAGAAGCAGAATCCCTGTTTGATCTTACTCCTGTGTTTACTTAGTTAAGATTCGCCATTATACAGAAGCAACAATCACAAATACTCATACAGAGTCTACATTTATATATTTTGAGAATTTACAGGTGAAGGTATTTTGAATCAAAGCACATATTTCATAAAAGAATTTCTTGGACCTGGCTTGGAAGTTAATAGATCATCTCAGGTGTCTAATATGTTTAACTCCTCTGTTTTCTTTATGAGTTACTGTGCTCTCAAATATATTTTCCTTGTATTTTAACAATGTAAGTTCTTTTCAGTCACTTTTTAAAACAGAAAGAATGTAACTGCTAGAAACAGAGGTATATAAACCATTTTTCTGGACATTACATTTCCAGTAGAAGACAGAAACAGAATACTGTTTATGAATATTAGGAAATTTGTTTCCTGGGCAATGGATGTTTCTCAATGACTAAGTTAGAAAGTGGCCTTGTTAAATCTGGGTCTGAAAACTGTCATTCTAATAGCTAGGCAGGAACTGGATTAGAGAGAGAAGGCAAAAACTAGCCAGCAGGATCAGTTTGCCCAAGTGAGAACAGGTAGGAGTCTGGAATGTCACATGATTACAGGAATAGATAAATGTGAAAATATTCTGTAGATCTAAGTCAGAAGGAAAGTATTGGCAATATTTGAAAATATGTCTGTGTAAGCTTTATGTATTTCCTATTATAGCAATGAAAAAGAGCTTAAGATCAACATATAAATTTACCCAAATATCTAAACCTAAACCTAAATGAAGATGAAATAGAAATTATCTTCAAAATATGTCTTAAAACACAACATAGAATAGAGGCAATATTTAAAAAAAATATATATATATATAGTCCCCACCCCCAGCAACCTTCCAAGAGTATCTTTTTCATTTTTTAACCTTCTACAGAGTGAAAAGACAGTGAGTCAAATAATTCAGTTCTAATTTTCACAGCCATCCCCAGTATCTGATTAATATTACCTTATGTACAATGAGCTCATGAGTGCCATCTGGGAGAGTCCTGCCATCTTCCTGCATCAGGGGGACAAAAGAGAAACCAAACAACTTCTTCTCTCCTTTCTCCTTTGCTGTGGGGGGGAAAAACGAATTATTTGCTTATTCAAGCTAAGAGTTTACATACTTGTGTTCAGATATACACTTTACGTATTTCATTATTTATTGATGCACTCCTAACAATGCTTAGAGCTATCTCCTGGTAGTACTTGGGAGACAAAATATGGTGGCAGGGACTGAATCTGGGTCAGCTGTGTGCAGAGCAAGTGCCATAATCTCTGTACCATCTCTCCAATCAGAGTTATATAGGCTTTAAAGAAGCATGGTTGCCAAGAAATATAATCCACACTGATTAGCTTCCCCTACACAATATGGAGAAGGTTTTAAGAAGTGACTTTTCTGTATCACCGCCTAATTCCAGATTTCTGCCCAATCATCAAACTATGTGCACTGGTTAATCTTCATGGAACCATCTGCTGTTATGTTTTTAAAAATGTGCAGCTTGTCTATGTTTTAATTCTGGATAATAATTTCTCTTATTTATCACTGGCATCTGCACCTTATAACAACTTTCTTCAGTGTCCTGCATTCAATTCTTCCTGATTCTCTTTCAATCTCATGGGTATCATGTCTTAATATTAATTGATCTCTTTTATTACCATCTCTTTTATTTTCCTTGTTTTCCCAATATATAAGTATACATTTAAGAGTCCCAGGGATCTCGCACAGGATTTATCTTTGCTATTTATTGATTTTTTAAAATGCTTTCTCTCTTTCTCTCTTTTTTTCTTTTTTGGCTTTTTGGGTCACACCCGGCAATGCACCGGGGTTACTCCTGGCTCATGCACTCAGGAATTACTCCTGGTGGTGCTCAGGGGACCATATGGGATGCTGGGAACCGAACCTGGGTCGGCCACGTGCAAGGAAAATGCCCTACCCGTTGTGCTATTGCTCCAGCCCCTATCTTTGCTATTTAAACTTTCTTAAGATATTCATGGCTTTGCATTTCATGAAAATCAGTGATCTGCAAAAACTAACCTGGACTGGCTCACAAGAGCTGATGGCACATCTTTCCCCAACCCCAGGTTGTCATGTACGTTGGTCACTCAAAGTTGACCCTGGTGGAACTATTACCCCAGGTAAATGAACAAACATTGAATTTAGGGGTCTCCTGTCTAGAAACCTGAAGGCTGGTTAGTAAATATTGACAGAATACCAATAAAGTCTTGTTCTCCATCTCAATTTTGTCTCAAACCTAAATCTCATTTTACTGCCTATTTGTCAACATAAAGGTGTAATAGATGCCTCAGATTTAACATGTCTGCAACAGAACATTTGATTTTTGCCGTCCAAACAAATTCTTGCCATTGTCTCCCCTCCCTCACCTCACTATATGACTGCTTCATCTCGTGATCAACCTTGGTTTTTCTCTTTCCATAGCATCTAAACTGTCAGTAAATTTGCAACAAAACAGAAAACAAACAACCACTACCGTCCTAACCCAAAGCATTTTAATATTTTATTTGGGTGAATGAAAACATCTCTTATGTGGTCTTTCAGTTCCTATTTGCCCATGCATTGCCCATCCACCTGCCACATTTATCCTCAACTTAACTCTTCTGGTGAATCCTCAGTACAGATAAAATCTAACATCTCCCCATGACATCTCTATCTTCTGTCACCTCTCTAGCAGCATTCCCAAATTATTCTAATATCTTAACCTGGTGTCCTCCCTATTCCTTGAGGAAAAACAAAAACAAAAACAAAAATAACCAGGGAGGTTTCTCCTGCCAGACTTTTGCATTTCTTTCCCAGTTACCCAAGGGACTTTACCATTTAGTTTCTGACTGATACATCTTCTTATCAAAGAGGTCTTTCTTAACTACTTCATCTAAAGTAACAACACATGCCATCACACTCTAGCACCTAATCCTAATTTAGTCTTCTTCACTACCCTATTACTACTGAATAAAGTATGCAATTGCTCATTGTTCCTCTTTCCTCTCCAGAATGAAAGATGAGTGAGAGGAGGCGTTCTGTTGTGCTTATTCATATATCTCAAAATACCCAGTAAAGTGTTCACTGCATAGTGGGTATTCAGTAAATATTTGACTTTTTGTATTTATATTATATGTGAAAAGTTAGATATTTGCATCTATACAATTTATATATTTATAATATATATTTTTTGTAAATTTATGCATTAGTGTATTTATAGTGTAATTATATAATTGTATAATAAGTATAACAAACATGTGATTATATTATTATACTATCTACTTATACAAAGGAAATATTTGTAGTGTTTGGGATTATATATTCTCTTTTATTTATGTTTGTTCTAAACCAATCTTCCTTCCCTCCTTTCTTCTATCCCTTCCTTACTGTTTTGAGGGTTTATTCCAGATTCTCCACCCAGGGATTACTCCTGATAGGGCTTGGGGACCACATGCAATGTTAGGGATTAAATCTGGTCTGCTACATGAAAGGCAAGCACCTAACTTACTGTACTATCTCTCTGGTCCCTGTTTGTTTCTAAGTTTTAACAATTAACATTAAAAAAAACAAAAAACTAAACACACTTTGTAAATAATACTTGAAGGAAAAGGTAAAGAGAACAAAGTATTAACAAGTTCAACTGAAAAAACTCTTTATGATATTCTCCAAGTTCTTAGTAATTTTCTCCAAGAGCTCTTGAACTTCCTACTCATTTATACTTTCTCCTTTTAGTAATCTTAAAATGAAAATCTTTTGTTAGACCCAAGTATAAAATTATAATAAATGTTAGTGAGAAGAATGGTACAGCATCATTGCAAGATATTTACATATTTTTATTTTGAAAGTATAACCCATGGAACTTTTCTGGGAATTTGGAAGTACTTACTAGTCATTTACCTACATTCAGAAATACCCACAAAAGGTGACTTTAAGGAACTACTTGAGCCAATACCCTGAGAACAGACAAGGTCTTCCACCTCTCCCTAAATCACAGATGAATTGCACAGCACTCAAGTAAAGTCACTGTTTATGTTTTGGCAATGGCTCCGTTCCTTCCAGATTGTAGAGGAGTCGCTACATGATGTGATTTTTGTGTATCTTTTCCCACTTCCACTGTAAATTCAATTGCTATATTCATAAGGTACACTAGTCATGGTGGTATCTGAAATACATCAGGAACACAGGATCTATATCTATCTACCTACCTAATTAATTACCTATCTACCATATCTGGACTGGGGCTTAGAGGGAACATAAAGTGGGAAATAATGAAGATGATATAATGAGAGCAAATGAGTTAAAATACAGACACCAAGAAGTGACATAATAGTCCCTTGGACAAATAATGTAATAGTCTTAGGTACTTCAGGCCTTTAAAATGAGGCAATTGTTCTACATCAATGCTCAGACTACATGGAGTGACATTACATCTTATCTGTCATTGTGTGGGACTGGTGATGCAGACATATCCAAGTGTGACATGAATGAACCAATCAGAGGAATGCAGTGATTTCACATGACCAGAAAAGTCCTTGTGGATTCCCATGATCTGTCAAGAGTTGGAACTGTATAATTAAGGGTCAGCACTTGTTTAAATCATCAGGGCTGGTCAAGTTCAAATGTGGTGTCTTTCCTTTCTATCCAACCTTCTTGGACTGAAAACAATGATGAACTTCTATAAAAGTAATCAATAGAAGGAGAACTTTGTAGATTTCCACTACCCCCTCTTTCTGGATGTTTGATGGAGATTATTATTTTTTTTCTTTTACTATGTAATACCATTTATGGCCTAGTCTACAATTGCTATTGGGTCTCCTTCAGACTTCTTTGATTTGTTGCACATTTTAGTGGTTCATCTACCCTGTGATTCTGCCTTAGAAAGCCAACTATTTCCAAAACACAAAAAAAGCCATGTAGCCATCCCCATAAAATCACTTACTGGAACAATGTCGAAATTCAAAGCGGATGTGCGCACCCCTGAATTTATCCACAGGGATGGGAAGTTTCAGCAGTTCAGACCACCTGGGACTGTTGTTATGATATAATACAAAGGAGTGGTACTCGCTGGCTGGCGGCTCTCCAGAGCCAAAGGAGATAAAATCCTAACAAAGGAAATAGGCAGGTTAAAGACAGCTTCCTTCAAAGATGATTTTGAAAGCAACAAAGCAATTGCTTTGCTCTATCTGCCAGCTGTCCAAATAGCACTACATGTGAAATTACCTCCTTGGTCATTTGTAGTGCTCTTCCTTAATCTCTAATGATAGCAGGCTGTGTGTGTGCGTGTGCGTGTGTGTGTGTGTGTGTGTGTGTGTGTGTGTGTGTGTAATTCTGCATTTGTCTGTCTGTCTGATTCTGCTGCTTAATTCTCTAGCTTTCAGTATGGACCTCTGTGACATCTGAAGGATGAGCAATTGTGTGCTCCATTTGATAATCTACTACATGGCAAAGTTCTCAAGATGCTACAATCAAAAGTCTGTAATGTGCCTCCTGGGGAGGCTGACTAGGCCCCCTGGGCTCATATTAAACACTCTTCCTTTAAGGTAAAACCTGCCATTATCACTTCAATTAGCAACACTTCATTCTTAAGATATAGTTTAGTCAAAACAAAGATTTTTTTTTAAAAACCATTTACCAAAGAAAACCATCCATCTCTAAAACAGGGCAAATAAAAAAAAAAATCAAGCTACATTTAAGAAAAAAAAACCCACAGTATTACATTTAAGAACAGTTGCTATGGGAATTTCCTGAAACAAACTCTCTAAAGCTTTTTGCTTATCTATTTTTTTTCTAAAAGGCATTTTTATGATAGAAAAGGAAAACTACAGTGAAATTTTTCTATGACAGCAAATCAGAGAAACAAATCATAGAATTAGATAGCAAATACTACATATCAGGAATGACTTGATCACATTAAAGATGAACTCAGTGCATTTATGTAGAACTGTTCACAAAAAGTGCCCAGGATTAACATACCTTTAAGGTCTGGCCACTGCTTTCTACAATGAACATTGTAACTTCCACATTTCTGGCAACGCTCTTTCCACCTTTCTCAAATTCCCCCCTTTCTACAGTGATGTATAAATCATTCCTCATTTCACCTAGGATGAAAGGAAAATTAAAACCATGTTTTATATGTTAGGAAGTATAATACAACACTCTCAGAAAAATGTTATTAGCTTACAGTTATAGCCTACTTATATATATTATCTCTCTCTATATATATGTAGAATATGTTATACTTCTACAAAATGGTTTCTAGTCTTCACCAACAATATCCAAGAACAGTAAAATCCAGCATCTGCTAGGGTAAATTAGCAACAATAAAAATGTGCATTTAGGAGATAAGTCCTGGGATTGAAGAGGAAAATGCTGTCAACCCTCATGATTTTTCAGTATATTCCTCAATTCATTTATGAGGTGTGATTAAAAAATGACAGCCTAGCAGGAATGGCTCACAGACACCAGCATTAATTATCATAGCACTTAGAGTAGAAGAAATACCTAAATGGAATAAAAAGACATAAGTGCAAAAGGTACAGTTAAAATCTAAATGTTTTCTAAAACTCATCGACAACTGATTTCACTGTTGAAAGAATTTGTATTAGTGCCTTTTGGACACAGATGTGGAATAATGCTGTCACAAAAACAAACTTGGCTTAAATTTTTTTACCATCAAACTCTTAAAACAAAAGAGAAAGATTCTAGATTCAAATTCATATGTATTGATGTACATATAACATTTTTTTCTTCCATTGCTCTTCATGAAATTTGAATGGTTTCTTATCTTACCCTTTCTTGCTGTGGCAAGAAAAAAAATAGAAATTTTATGCCAACTAGAAAAGTTAAGAAAACAGAGAACATTTTTTTTGTCTCTCCTATAAAGATGAAGTTAGAAGGAGATGGTGAGTGGACTGGAAGTGAGAAATAAGTAAGTTACATTTCATTAAAACTTATTTGATCATTGTATAATTGAAACCAAAGCACAAAAAATTGTAAATCTACAACTTTAAAAAAAATAAAATAAAATAAAGGGGGAAAAAAAAAACTTATTTGTAGGTAAAATGTGACAGGGTTGGCAAAAATGAAATTACTCTTATTAACATTTGGAGAACTAAAGCACCATTCTCTTTTTTTTAAAATAAAATATCTCCATTTTTAAAATTGAATCATCTTGAGATACAGTTACAAAGCTTTCATGAGTGAGTTTTAGTCATACAATGATCAAATACCCACCCCTCCACTATTACACATTTTCCACCACCAGTGTCCCCAGTATATCCTCTCATGACCCTCACCCCATTGCCCCCTCCGACTCTGTAGTAGGTACCATCCTTATTATTCTCTCTCTACTTTTGGGCATCATAGTTTGCAATATGGATACTGAGAGGACATCATGTTTGGTCCTTAGTCTACTTTTAGCACACATCTCTCATCCTGAGCTATCCCTCCAACTATCTAAAATATTTCCTTAATAAAGCAAGTTATGAGGCTGGAAATGTGGCTCAATGTGGGTGAAGCCTAGGATTCAGTCCCCTCCATCACATAAAGAGAGAAAATCACTAGATGGACATGATAATAAAAGCATGTCCATGAAGAGGAGATTTGTATAACCTCCTAATCAGAGTACACACAAGAATGGACAGTCATGGGGAAACCCCAATGTGCCTGCTCACCTTCTACCACAGAGACCAACTTTTATGATCACATCATTTTTAAATGGCCTGAGCTGAGTAAGGAATCAGTGAGTTATAAAATGCAAAACTTAAGTACTTTAAAAAAAAGATGAAATCTTAACCATCCTTTACAAAACTATATAAAAAATTTACTGGAAAAATGGATTCAGTTGTCTCTCAGTAATTTCTAGTATTCTCATATAGTTCATACTGGTATCAACCAGAGAAGGCAATGACTTGTAATTTCACTGTAGCACTGTACCACTGTCCTCCTGTTGTTCATCGATTTGCTAGAGCAGGCACCAGTAACATCTCACAACAAATTGTGAGACTTCTTGTTACTGTTTTTGACATATTGAATACGTCATGGGTAGCTTGCCAGGTTCTGCTGTGCGGGCGAGATACTCTTGTAGCTTGCCATGCTCTCTGAGAGGGGTGGAAGAATCAAACCCCGGTCGGCTGTGTAAAAGGCAAATGCAGTACCCACTGTGCTATTGCTCCAGCCCACTTGTAATTTCAGAAGAAGATAATATATATATCAACATCCACACATTTAAAATTATAATCATGAACTTTGAAAGCTTTTAATTTTTTAAACATCACATTTTAAAACAGAGAATTGCTCAATAGATTTTACAAATTGGCTAGATTGTTTTTTATAACACTATTAACATTATTGTATTTCTATATACATAAATTTATATACTATATATATATATGCTCATCATCCTTAGAATAGTTCCATTTTAACAATTCTATTATAGGATAACTAGTAAAATCACAAATTGTGTCTTCTAGATTTTTTTGTTTGTTTTTGGGCCACACTGTGTAATTCTCAGGGGTAACTACTGGCTCTGTACTCAGGAATCACTTCTGATGTTGCTCGAGGGATTGTATAGCATGCCTGCGATTGACCCTGTGTCAGCTGCATGAAGGGCAAGTGTGCTACCCAATGTGCTATATCTCTAGCTCCTGGGTCTTCTACATCAATCGCAAAATAACTCTGATACAGTAATGTTCTGCACATATTCTCTTTCAATAATTTGGGAGAAAGTTATTTTTTATCAAAAATTTTATTTAGTCACTGTGGTTTATAGTCACTCCTGATTGGGTCTTAGGCATACAATGTTTCAACATCAATTAACAAACCAGTGTCCATTTTTCTGTGCTAGTGATCTCATTTCCATCCTACCCACCAGTCTGCCTTTATGACAGGCATATTTTTTATAATAGATTTTTGGCACTGTGATTTATAGTACTGTTACTGATACAGTTTCATGCATTATACTTTACCACCATTCAGCAAATTCCAACCCCCCTGGAGGACATTCTTGACAGTAGGTTTCAACAGATTTAGCAGGTAAAACAAACAAGCAAACACACAAATCAGCTTGGCCAAACCACAGAGGGCTATTCTACAAAAATGTCCTCCCAAGAGTTTCTTGGGAAGGGGATTCTTCTACTCTCATCTCTTTAGAAGGAAATGATAACTCTTAACTTCAGCACCACCAGGAGTAATTCCTAAGTGCATGAGCCAGGGGTAACCCCAGTGCATTGCCAGGTGTGACCCAAAAAGCAAAAAAAAAATGTGTTTCCTAAATTATCCCCCAAAGCCTACTGAGCTTATAACCTAACTGATTCTTCTATGCCTTCTGAATTCTTTAAGAGATTCAAAGGAGGTAAGAATGGGTGTGAACGGTAAAGAAGATAGCTCAAGGGAGTAGTGTGCAGGGGGGAGGGGGGGCAGGAAGATTTCTACATAGCTGGAAGCCTTCCTCATAAATAAAGGGGAGAAGGCAGCTGGAATAGAGAAAGGATCACTAAGAAAATGATGGCTTGAGGAACCCGTCTGGATGGGAGTTGTGCGCTGAACATAGATAATGGATCAAACATGATAACCTCTCAACATCTGCATTGCAAACCATAATGCCCCAAAGTAGAGAGAGAATATGGGGAATACTGTCTGCCATGGAGGCAGGGGGAGGGTGGAAAAGGGGGGGCATACTGGAGATATTGGTGGTGGGGAATGTGCACTCTTGGAGGGAAGGGATCAATCACTGCAATTGATCATTGTGTGATTGTAACCCAAACATGAAAGATTGTAACTATCTCATGGTGTTTCAATAAAATTTAAAATAAAGGGGTGTAGTGTGCATACTTTGAGTCTATGGCACTGCATGATCTCCATTGAAAGTGACCTCCAAGCAATGCACCAGTTGATGTCACCCACAAACCAAAACCAAACAAAGATAAAAGAGAGTGGTGAAGTAAAAGAACATGCAAAGTTGGTAGAAACGGTAGGAGGGACAACTCTACTTATACTGTCTTATGACTTTCAAAATAACTTCTGCAATATAATACATTTAAAAATTAAAATACCTTAAATATATGCTTCAAATTTTTGCTTTATAGCTGTCACCATTCTCATAACCTCCTAAATATTTTGAAAGCTCTGCAGACTAAAATAAGATTTCTTTGAAAAGAGAACCCTTGACAAGAAGAACATGTCTTCTGGATGACATGCTCCACGTCTCCCCAGGAATTTTGCAGCTTGCCATGTTCTAATACTGCAAGGTGCCAGATTTTGGCAAAATATGCAGAAGGATAAAGTTGAAACAAGTGCTAATTAAAATCATTACACTTGAGATTGACTCTGGAAAAAACTAATAAGCCCAAACGGTGTTAAGAAAGCATCTTGGGTAATTAAGAGAGAAACCATAAAGTGAGTATGAAATGGAGTCACAGCACCAGTGTGAAAAGCTATTTTCCTGACAGTGTTTATTAACACCTTGCACCTCTCAAATGTATGACTCTGTGAATTTGATGAGCATGACACTTCCTATGTTTAGCAAGTCCACTGGCTCGAAGTATTTACACAGGTGAAGGCTCTTCAAAGTCTCACCGGAGATAAAGATGAGGCAACGGCGATGGGAATAAAGTCAAAAGATTTTGTGAGTAGAATTAAATGTAAATGATTGGTAGCTTGACTTTAACAATAAGAGTTTTTAACAATAAGTAGTTGGAATCCTTAATCCTTTTTTTCTTCTTTTCGGGTCACACCCGATGATGCACAGTGGTTACTCCTGGCTCTTTATGCTCTATGCTCAGGGGACCATATGGGATGCTGGGAATCGAACCCGGATCGGCCACTTGCAAGTCAAATGCCCTACCTGCTGTGCTATCACTCCACCCCAGGAATCCTTGATCCTTGAGTCTGTCCTATGAAATCCTGGAATGAAGGCAGAGAGCACCTGCTGCCATATCATGCAAACTCTTGCACCAGTCACAGGGCCTAACCCGGTACTTTATATATACAGAATATTAATGAATATTTATAAAACTGGAGAAGTTTCTCTCCAGCTTAAAAGGAAATAACACACATAAAAGACTATAAATAATAACAGCAATAGTAGAACACCTCCTTAAATCCTTCCATCAATACTCCAAGAAGGCAGTATTATTTACATTTTATAAGAGGGAAATGGAGGAGTAGAGATTAAAAGTGTATCCTATGAGTCAGGGAGATAGCCTTAAAGGTTGGAGCACAAGCTCTGCATCTGGGAGGCCAAGGTTCAATCTCTGGCATTGTGTGGTTCAATAGTACTGCCACCAAGCCCCAAGCACTGAACCAAGAGTAGATGCAGAATATCACTGGGTGCCCTCCCCAACCACAAAAGCATTCAATATATTAGCAAGTATCCCCACTTTCCCTGTGAGAGGAGTGTAAATCAACAGGAGGAGAATGCCTCTTAAACACACCAGTGTGAGTTGTCCATCAGCTGAAGACCAGTATCATGAGGAAGGAAAGTATTTATTCTAACTGACCCTCATGGCTAAAAATAGTTAAATGTACTAAATGGTGGTGGATGGAGAGACATTACAGAGGGCAAAGCACTTGCCTTACATGCGGTTTATCCAAGTTTGATCCCCATTACCCAAATGGTCCCCAAGGCCTGTCGGGAGTGGCCTCTGAGTACAGAGTCAGGAGTAAGGCCTGAGCCACAACTAGGTGTGGTCCCAAAACTAAAACAACATCAAAAAAGTAATAAATACTGATTAAATATCTGGAATTGTCTTTACAGGATAGGAATAAATACACAAGGTAATATCAGATTATAAACCATATAGAAATAGGATAGATGGGGGAAAGATTACGTAGGTGAGCAGATACAGCAAAAAATAAAATTCTTCTTGCCTAAAGAGAATCCTAATCTCAATATGAGAACAGACCTTCCAAGTCAGGAGGGGCTTAGCCTGACCTCCCATGACTCAGACACATCAGCCAGCTTTGTTCCAATGTCTGCAACATGGACCTCGTCCTTCCTGGTATTCGTCAATGGCCTGGACCCACATTGCAGAGTCTGCTAAGACCGTTAGAGCTGGGCTGGCCAATGCAGTAATCACTGCCACATGTTGCAACTAAGCCCTTGAAATGTGACTTGGCGGAAAAGAGATCTACAGTAAGTGCATAATTTTTACAGCCTTCAAAGATTTTCAAAGAAAATGAAGAGTAACTCATTATTTTATAGCTGAATTTCCAGTTGAAATAATAGTCTAGATGTATTCTGTCAAAAAAAATGTGTTAAAATTGCTCCTCTGTCTTCTCACTTTGCTGCTATTTTTTTTTTTTTTGGCTGGGGCAGAGGGGAGGGTGGAAGGGAGGTCATGCCTGGCTGTGCTCAGGGCTTACTCCTGGCTCTGCACAAAGGGATCATCATTCCTGACAGGGTCTGAGGGACCATTTGGGATGCTGGGGTTTGAGCACAGGTTGGCCATATGCAAGACAAGCACTATGATCACTCCAGCCCTTTCCTTCTCACTTTTTAAAAGAAGCTACTGAAAAAAGCAAGATTACATCTGTATCCTGCACTATTCCTCATGGGCTCAGCACGGACTATAGATGTATTGCACCTACTTGTTTTGTAGATGGCAGTGAGGGAACTTGACAGAAAGTTATCTTTTCTTCTTCAGAAGCTTGATTCCTTAAGATTAAAAAGGGCTGAATGACCAAATCTTAACTACATGGAAGAAACTGGAGCTTGAAAGCACCGGGGCAGATTACTTCCTCAAAGTAAATGACTAACAGACAAATATGTCCTGGACAAGAAGCAGGATTTCCGCTTCCACACTTTTCCCATTCCAGAGTCTGGCACTGATTACATTCTCAGTTCCTCAAGAAGGGCTTTGGGGATATTCCTGTTGGTGTTCATCCCTCTGATAAAACCTTCCACAGAGAAACAGTGAATGAACTTGATCCTGTGGGTCTAATCACATGCCTCATCTTTCCTGACCCTTACCAGAACACAAACTCTAAAGGAAAAGTCTAGAAAATGAAAAGAGGAAAAATAACATCATGTTTGGAGACTACTGATGCAACACTAGGAACAAAAATGTTCACATGGACTTTTTCACTGGAGAATTCATATCAACCACCAGTGAGACCTATTAAGTCAAAACACTGAAAATAACCAAGGAAAGAAATACAACGATTGCACATTTGCCATTGTTCAAAGTTCCATTGAGTTTTAAAGTTGCTTTCAAAATTTTAAATAAACACATATATATGTAGACACACACACACACACACACACACACACAGAATGTTCCCTTCTTATTCTAATTTGGAAAATTAAGAAGTCAAATAAAAAAAGAGAACAGAAATTGAAAAAGAAGGAAGTTGTGTGTGTGTGTGCGTGCGTGCGTGCGTGTGTGTGTGTGTGTATGTGTTTTAATTCTCTTGCTATTCCCAGCACTGTTGCAGATGGGCATCTGGGAGCACGATGCCTCAGATGTGTTAATTTGGAGGTTATACTATGGTGAGGAGAAGGGAGAACAGTGAGCCTTGTTTCACACCAAGTTCACTTCCATCATTAAAAGCTGCATGAGCATAGCACATCCCAGACAATTACTCAGACAGTGAAGTGTCATGTTGCTTTATGTTTTTCAATGATACTGCCCAGCGACCAAATGAAGGAATTCTCCTAGCAGCTGCCTGCATTCTGCTGTAAAATATGTTTTTTATATTAGATTTGCCCATCAGTTTGCTTCCCAGAGGAATAAAATTTTTTTCCTTTTTTTGTTAAAGAGGAAATACCAGTTATTTATAGCAACTGAAGGAAATAATGAATGGCTGCAAGAGCCACTGAATAACATACCACCAAGTAAACAGTTCTATAAACAGTCATTTTCGACAACAGCAGCACGAGATGCTCTGGCTGTCTGTGTCCCTAAGTGAGGCCAGGTCATTTCAGGAAACTTTACAGCTCAGGAAGCATTGGGCAACGTTGCTCAGTGTCTGCCTGGGTTTAGGCTGTCAGTCACCACAGTCCTACCACGGGGCCTCAGAACTGGGCTGGGAGCCCTGTCACATGCAACTTTCCTGCTTACTCTTACATGTGCAACTTCAACAGAGACTTGAAGGGTCTTAATTCTACAACACTCTCTGCGTTTCAAGACAATTTGGTCCTTCTGGCCTTGATTTTCAACACAGTTTTGTGTGTGTGTGTGTGTGTGTGTGTGTGTGTGTGTGTGTGTGTGTGGTGGGGGGAAGTAGGATATGGTACACTGAGAAATACTTCTACTTTGTCATTTTTTTTAATTTATTTACTTATTTTAGCTTTAGGGATCACACCCGGCATTTCTCCTGGCTCTGCATTCAGGAATTACTCCCAGCACTACTTGGGGGACCATATAAGATGCCGGGGCCGTCGAACCCTGGTTGGCTACATGCAAGGCAGACATCCTACCTGGTGTACTAGCACTCAGGCCCCTGTCATTATTTTATTTATTTTATTAGTTTCTTACTTTTTATTTTAGCAGTGTGAATCTTAACCTTTTCCACTTAGAAATACACACTCTTTGGGGAGTCTTTATCAATCTCTATCAGAAACGAAGAAAAAAAGACACAGCAGTACATACTACATGTGGTTGCTTCTTTTCATACTCATATATCCAGTAGAAAAACCCTCAAGTGGGAGAGAGAGTACAGCAGGAATGGCAGCTGCTTTATACATAATTGACCAGGTTCAATCCCCAGGACAGTGATCCCTGAGTGCAGGGCTAGGAGTAAGCCCTGAGCACAATGGGGGTGGCCCAAATCCCAAGTTAGAAAAAAAAAAGGAAAAAAAAAACTTCATTAAGGAATAAATGCTGCTCATAACAGTTCTGAGAAAAGCCTGTAAGAATTTTCTATAAGTAAAATTTTTTAGCAAAAGTAAAATGATTTCTGGGCATCACCTCTGTCTTCTTCCTAGAATGGTCATAATAAAATATAGCTATGGGATTCTCCATACAAGTTACCTACCTTAACATAACAAAACATCAAACCATTTTTAAAAGTACTTGCATCTTGTAAGGTAGATATCTACCTATCTTAAATTAGAGAGTCAACAACACTGAAAGGAGAGGGAACTTGAGGACAGTAGTGGAGGGAAGTTGAAAATCGGTGGTGTGACTGATGCTGAAACACTGTATGTGTGAAACTCAACTTATGAATAACTATGTAAATCATGGTGACATAATTTTTTGAAATTACTTGCTTATTTTTTATTACATACCTCACTTCATTCTTCAGCATGGGCCACTGAAACTCTTCAATTCAGACTGATAATTTAAAAAAAAATTCCTCTGTGTTAACCAAATGCCCAAATCTTATTTCTGTCTCATCCAAGTCACTTACCAGGCATAATAATATTAGAAAAACCTAATTTTCGCGTTATAGATACTCCATGAGAAAACACTGATGAATATTCTCTTCTGATTTGTTCAATATCTCCATGTAATAGTTGTAGGGAAACTGCTAAACCTAAAATAAATACAAGATACAAAGTTAGAAAATAGAGACAGAGAAATAACATGGACAGGAAGTACAGTGTTTCATTAAGCCCAGATCTGAGATCATTGCTTAAAATTGAGGGTTACCAAGCAGACAGAGCCAACAGAATATATAGTAATTTAGCTAATATCTTTTAACCTGAAAACCTGAGTTATCCCAACGATAAGGAGGTTCAGGGCAAGTGAAAAATTTTGGAGCAGAACACTAAAAAGAGAAAGCTTGGCTTCTAGCCCCAAAACCGTCTTTCCCAGCTTCCAGATGGAAATAGGCCCGAGCCAACACTTATTTCTATATCAACAGTGGAGGACTGAACCTGGACACAACTGATCTCAAATTAGGAGTTCTCATCTTTTTTCTTTTAGGAGGAACATGAATTAATTATCAGATATCATAAAGATAAACAGAAATCTCAAGACATAACAATTCAAGGATTTTAAGGGCATTCACAGAGATATTGATAAGTTCAGATGATATTTACAAAGGTGATATAATAAAAGGTTAATGCAATAAAAGTTATATCATTAAAAGACTATATTCTAGAATTATACAGAATATAATATTTTCCATTTTCTGCTGAGATAAGCTTAAGCAGGGTGCAGACCACTCTGAAAAACAATAGCTTATTCAGTCTTTAAAATGGTTATTTTATTGTATTTATTTTCATGCCTTTATAACACCAATTATAGTGGCATTACCACAGTGGGATACGGAGTTGAACAAATCTTTTTTTATATTTTATTTTCCCAACTCTCAGGCAAAATCTGCAGAAAGAAAATTCACATTATAAGCTGGTGAATGTTTATATATTTCCAAGATGCAACTAATCTCTCAGCTTTTAAACTTTTTTTTCTTTCTCATGTTTATATTTTATAAAAAGAAGTGAAGATGTACCTACATTACTGATAGTTAAAGGTAACATTTTTTTGGCTTTTTAAAATTATTTATTTTTATCACTGTGAATTACAAAGCTACAAAGTTATACATAACTGAGATTCAGGCGTACAATGTTCCAATACTAATCCCTTCCCCAGTCTCCATGTCCCTTTATCAGTGTCACCCCAGCTTGCCTCGTGCACTATTTGTTTTCCTTTACTTTTTTCTTTCCCCTTTTAGGCACTGTGGTTTACCATACTGTTACTAAGAGGTATTACCAGTTTACCCCTTTACAACACCTAATCCTGGTCCAGAGGGATCACTTACTTCTATTATTGTCATAGTGGTCCATTCACTAACCTATCCCACTTTCCTCCCTCATCCTAAGTGGCAAGCCTCCTACAAAGGACCAGTTCTCCTGACCTTCACACCTATTGCCTTTGGGCATTAATTATTTCCCTACTATGCTTTTTTATAGTCCACATATGAGTGAGGTCATTCTGTGTCTGTTCTTCTCTTCCTGACTCCAGATCCATTCACGTAGTAGCAGACTGCATGGCTGAATCTTTCCTTACTGTCAAGTAGGACTCCATTGTGTACCATAGCTTCTTTATTGGTTGGGGAAATTACTTCGATAGTAAAAGGTAATATATTTTTAAAGAGTCTTTCAGGAGCCAGGAATGTGACTCAAGTAGTAGAGCGCATCCTTCGTATGTGCAAGGTCCCTCATCTGATCTACAGCACTGCATGCCTGCCAGCATCGCTAAAAGTGGGTATCCCCAAGCACTGCTGGACCCAAGCAAAGCCAGAAATGCCAGGATAGAGCAGACCAAGTGTGTCCTAACCCCCACAACAAAAATTATACGACATTCTAAGACTCAGTCATCATTAACCGGAACTTAAATTTTAAATGAATTTGAATAGTAGGGCCAAGAGAATGATAAATCTGTATTCTCAATATCATCTATCTATATTGCTGCTTATTTTTTCTTACTCAATAACATTAATATTATGTACAAATTATCACTACCATTCATTGCTTATACACTGCAAGGCTAACTACAATTCTGAATCTAAAAATGACATCAATCATGCTCAAATTAACTAGAAATACCAAACGTATTTGCCACATTTCTAAATCAGAGTACTCAGTAATCTGAAATAGTATGAATAACAATAAAAATGTCAGCTGGTTTGTTTCATTCCTTTTCATTTGAGTGGCTGAAACATTAGGAAAAATTGTTTTTAAAATAACAAAATAAAAAATGAGGAGCAAAGAGATGTCTGCGGTTCAAATCCAACCTTGAGGATAAATACCCACGGGACAGTGATGTAAGAGCAGGGCAGGGCAGGACTGAGTCACTGTGTCCTCATGCCTTTTTGTTGTGTGTGGATCTAACAGAAGACTTGTGTCAGAGAATTAAATCTGCCAGGCACATAGGAATTTGAATTAAACCTGCATCCCATTTTCATTTAATGATTTCTAAGTCACTTCCCTTACCTCATACATTGGAATGTGGTTATTGAAGACGATAGAAAGGGAGACCATTTTTTCTTCATTACATGGAAAGATGTAGGAAAGTAAATATAGGAATACTCCCATGTGGCACTGCTGGTTACTTTTAAAGTCCAGAGGCAGGAGAATGAAGACACACTAACATGTGTTCCAATCCATCTGTCCCAGCAGCTATTTCTTCCTGAGTCATACTCTCCACTACCCCCCCCCCCCCCCAACACCACCACCACCTTTTCACTGGCGTCTCCATTCTCCTCCTACATCTGTCCTTTTGCCTTCAAAACACTCACCCACACTACCATCACCATCAGCAGGAGCTGATATTTGTAGAACTCTTTTGTATGCCAGCCACGATATATAACAGTCCCTTCTGCTAAGGACACCAGTCAAATCCTGGGGTACTATAAGCAAAGCTTCCAACTAGAAAACCAGAGTGACTTAAAAATTATTAAGTGCGATTTTTTTAGTAAGTGATAATATAAATTTCATCAAAAGTTTTGATCAGGGTTATGGAGCGATAGAAAGTGGATAGGCCCTTTGCCTTGCATGTGGCCCACTTGGATTCGATCCAACGCATTTCATGTGGTCCCTCAAGCACTTTCAGGAGTAACTCCTGAGCATAGGGCCAGAAGTAATTCCTGAGTACAGAGCCAGGAGTAAACCCTGAGCATTGCCAGGTGTGAACCAAAATAATAAAAAGACAAAAAGTTTTGATCAGAGAGACACTAACCACATTATATGGCATGCATAGGGAATAAAGGAAAAAAAACAGTAACAATAATATTTTTAAAATGCATTTATGCGATTTAAGTCTGTATGAAGAGAATGTGGACAGCATATTTGCCTTTCTGCATAAAGTCAGATCACTTAACCAGCAGTTATTTTTATTTATTTCTTTTTCTTTTGCTTTTTGGGTCACACCTGGCGATGCTCAGGTGTTACTCCTGGCTTTGCATTCAGGAATCATTCCTGGCGGTGCTCGGGGGACCATATGGGATGCTGGGAATTGAACCCTGGTCAGCCGCGTGCAAGGCAAACACCCTACCCTCTGTGCTATTGCTCCAGCCCCACCACCAGTTACTTTTAAAAAACATAAACAAAATACTTTCTAGAAGATAATACAATGAAAGAATAAACTTTTTTTTGACAGAGAATGTGAATATTAAGGAAAATTCATTACTGGAAATAGGAGGAAATGTGTTTTAGGGAAAGTTGAAGATGTAAGGTGAACAGAAATATATCGAACATCTTTGACAGTAAGATGAGAGTATATAAAAGAAGAAAAGCAAAACTACTGAGATAAGAACTAGGCTGTAAGTAAGAAAGAAAATGAGAAAGTGTTGCAAAAGACAGATAATACAGTATAGAAGAAGCAGAGGGAGGTGTTTGAGGGCTGAATCAATAGTACAGTGGGAAGGGTGTTTGACAGAACCCACATCCAACGTGGGTTCTATCCCTGGCACATCATCTGGTCCCCCAAGCACCACCAGAAATGTTTCCTGAGTGCAGAACCAGGAGTAAACTCTTAACACAGCTGGGTGTGACCACCCTTTACCCCTACAAAAGCAAGAGTGTTCAAGAGGTCCATGTATCCTATACTATATGTTGATTAGAAGACATGACAGTTTTCAACCTGAAAGCTTAGAAAGAGAGAGACTAAAACAATCCTAGGTGTCAAGATTTCATTTGTCTAACCAAGTGAAAACAATTTGAGGGAGAGAAGAAAACACTGCCATTTTAAATTACCCAATTTTCCTATAGTGAAGGATTCACTGAAAGTGGTAAACTGACAATATAATCTGGAACAAAAACTGATGTAAAGATGAAGAAGCAAAGTGGATGAATCTGGAGAGTATGATGCTTTTTTTTCTGCTTTTTGGGCCATACCCAGCGATGCTCAGGGGTTACTCCTGTCTCTGCACTCAGGAATTACTTCTGGTAGTGCTCAGGGGACCAGATGGGATGCCAGAGATTGAACCCAGGTCGGCCGCATGCAAGGCAAATGCCCTACCCACTGTACTATCACTATCACTCCGGCCCCTATGATGCTGTTTTATGATTAGAGGCAGGTAGAACTTTACAAGAAAAAACATCTAACCCCATCAAAAATGGGGAGAAGAAATGAACAGAAACTTCTTCAAAGAAGACATTCAAATGGCCAAAAGGCATATGAAAAAGTGCTCTAAAACACTAATTATCAGGGAAATGCAAATCAAAACAACAATGAAATATCATCTCACATCACAGAGACTGGAACACATCCAAAAGAACCAAGAACAACCAGTGCTGGTGCAGATGTGGGGAGAAAGGAACTCTCATTTATTGTTGGTGGGAATGTTGACTGATCCAGTCATTTTGGAAAATATGGGCAATTCTCAAAAAAAACTAGAAACTGAGCTTCCATTTGACCCAGCAATGCCATTTCTGGGAAAATACTCTGGTGCTCCAAAACACACAACAGAATCACTATCTGCACTTTTCACAATAGCCAGACTCTGGAAACAACCTAAGTGCCCAAGAACAGACAGCTACGTAAAGAAACTATGGTACATCAACACAGTGGAGTACTATGTATCTGTTA